AGAGATGAGGTCTCGCTGCCCAGGCAGGTCTCGAACCCGCGGGTTCAGGCAATCCACTCATCTCAGCCTCCCAAAGGCACCGGATTACAGGCTGAGCCACTGAGCCCGGCTGATGATATGCATTTTAATTATCACACCTCTCAAGAGAAACATGATTCAGATGTCATACTACTTGGACACTGTCTTTGTGTTGCTATAAAAGAATGCATAGGTAATTTTTAAATAAGCCTTTGTGAAAAAAGGTTTATGGTCGAGCTCAGTGACTCAGCCTGTAATCCCAGCACTTTGGGAGACCGAGACGAGTGGATTGCCTGAGCCCACAGGTTCTAGACCCACCTGGGCAACTTGATGAGGCCTCATCTCTACAATAAATCAAAAATTAGCCAGTCATGGTAGTGCGCACATGTAATTCCGGCTACTTGGAAGGCTGAGGTGGAAGGATCTCCGGAGCCCAGCAGGTCAAGGCTGCGGTGACCGGAAGCATGCCACTGTACTCCAGTCTGGGCGAAAGAGTGAGACTCCAACTCAAAACAAAACTAAAGAGAAAAAAGGTTTACTTGGCTCATGATTCTACTGGCTGGAAGATTGGGCATCTGGTGAAAACCTCAGGCTCCTTCCAGTCATGGTGGAAGGCAAAGGGGAGCCCAAGGGGAACCCATGTGTGAAGAGATCATATGACAAAAGAGGAAGCAATGGTGGGGGGAGGTGTCAGGCTCTTTACCAGCCAGCTCCTTCTGAATTAATAGAACAAGAACTCACTCACATACCCCCACCTAGGATATTAATTACTCATGAGGGCTCTACCCCCGTGATCCAGACACCTTCCATTAGGCTCCACCACCAACATTTGGGATCAGATTTCTTTCTTTCTTTTTTTTAATTAACTCCCAAAAGGCAGATTAATTGGAGAAAAGTCATACATACTTATTTAGCATGTGGACATGGGGAAAATCAGAGTGGTTGCCCTTCTGATTTCAACATGGTGCCTGAAGGGGGTGGTCATATGTTCAAACTTTAGCAAATCTGAACTCCCTGGGACCAAAGGAGATCACCAAAAGTGATGGTACATGGTGAAGAAAGGTTGTCTAATAAAATTAACATCTGCCAACACAGCTCATCTTGAATAATAACTGTTTCTCACTTTGGAGCACATGCTTTAAGGACAAGACATTTCTGCTTGAACCCCAGGAGACTTATCTCTTGGTATTTTTCCAGGAACAAAATCCTCCCTGCCTTGACTGGCATGGCATATTTGGCAGTTGGGACTCATGGTGGCCCTCAACAATTACAAAACTGGCCTTGGCCAAGTAAGATTAAAAAATTCTCCAGGAGCAGGAGGATTCCGATTTTACTGTAGTTGCAGGAACTTTATTGACCTATGGCTGAATCTAAAAATTAATGATTAATGAGTTGTTAGAAAAGCAAACACTAAAAGGTAGTGAGAGCTGTTTGGGGCAATGTTAGGAGAAAGCTTAGTTAGCATGAACTTAAGTAACTGAAGTTGGATAGCCATATGATTAAATTTGGAGGGTACTACATATTGCTTACTCCCAACAGGTTGATGTTTTTAGGGGTTACAAGACCAGGAAAGCTTATCAAAAAGTTTGGAATCCTGATTCCAAAGTTGGGAGTCTGAGTAAGAATTTATTGTACCTTTTATGTATTGATCTTTACCTATTTCCTAAGGAACAGAACAGCTTATGGTTTACCACATTGTGGGTTTCAACTGCCATTTCCATTGGTCAGGATATAGAGGACATGACTGAAACTGTTAAGGACAGAAGTACCTGGAAAATCTCTGCAAAGGTGATAGTTGGTTCTGTGTCCTCCCAACCAGTTAGTGTCAAAATAGGAGTCTGGAAAACAGAAGTTGGACCAATTACCTAAATCCCCCCCCCCCCCCCACATTCTTACTTTGGCAGATGCTGAGGGTTGGAAAAGCAAAAGCAGATGTGTGGCCCAAAACTGCTCCAAAGAAAGGTGAGAATGGCCAGCCCACTTGTGCAGGGAGAGTTTGACTCTTTTCAGTAAAAGACTCTAGAGTTGTTTGTAGAATTGTAACACTGGTATTTTTTAGATGAGAACAGCTTAGTTCCTCCTGCCCCTGTGGACAGCGATGGGGAGAGTGATAACTCAGACCGTGTTCCTGTGCCCAGTTTCCAAAATTCCTTCAGCCAAGCTATTGAAGCAGCCTTCATGAAACTGGACACACCAGCTACTTCAGATCCCCTCTCTGGTAAGGGCAGAGAACTGGAGTGCTCAGCACAGGACTGTCAAATACTACATATGTACTGCCATTCTTGCCAGATCCAGCGGCAGACATCAATAATTGGACAGGCACATTTCCCTACGAACCTTTCAGCCCATTCTAGTGTCAAATGATGTTCCATTTGGTGTGCCAACCTATTTGCCACCCCAGATTAATTCTTGGGGGCTGGAAATGAAATTCTGAGGAACCCTTCCAAGACATAGTATATGGAGAGTAGATCCTGCCTACACTTTAGAATTCTGAGTTGGTGAAGCGTGACTTGTGACTAGACAAGAATGACATACTTATGGTGTGCTTTACTACATGTCTACCAGTATGCTCATTTTATTCTCCAACAACTACACTAAATGGGTATAACTCTCCTGTTAGGAGGAAACTGAGGTCCAGGGAGGTAGTGACTTGCCCAAAGACAAATGCATAGTGTATGCAAGGACTGATATTTGAATTCAGGCAGTCTAATTCCAGAGCCTGTATTCTTGGCTCTCACGGTGTGACTCTCAGTAATGAAAACTGCCCAGGGGACAAGGGGATGGCATTTAAAGCTAAGCAAGCTCTCTTTGTTTCCCTTTAGAAGAGAAAGGAGGAAAGAAAAGAAAAAAACAGAAACAGAAGCTCCTGTTCAGCACCTCAGTCGTTCATACCAAGTGACACTACTGGCCCAGGCTGCCTTCTCCATCTGTTTTTTTTTTTCCTTCTGTGCTTTTGTTTGGCTGCTGTAACTTTTAAGTATTTGAGTTTGAACAGATTTGCTCTGGGGGGAGGGAGTTTCCAGTGTGAGGGGGAACCAAGAACATTTTAAATACAATGTATTTTCCAGCTTCCCGTCTTTACACCAAAATAAAGTATTGACACAAGAGGTCTCTTCCTGCCAAGGTTTTTAGTTTATTTCCAGGTTAGTCTTTTTGACCCGTTGTATAAACTTTTCTCAACCCAAAGTAAGTTTGAGTCCTTTCAGTATCCCTTGGAGCAGCCCAGACCAGAGTGGTACAGCACCACTTTTGCTTAGTAGCATGCGTCAGGGCTTTATGATTCCAGCATATTTCTTAGTTTATCTTTTTAAAATAGTTGAATCTTTCCTACCTGTTCAGTTCTCCTTGTTAAAGAAACAGAGGAATGGTAATAAAATGGATTTAGGACACCCAGTTTGAATTGCAGTGTTTCTTCTGACAAATGGCCAGGCTGTGGTGCCAGATCTAGGTTGCCAGCTTGGTGGGGTAGTTTGTCCTTGGCACTTGAATGTGTGAAGGGATGGTTTTACACTTGAATGGCTTTATTTGGTAAGGAAAGTTGTAACTGTCACTAAGGAAGCCCTGGGAACTGCCAGCCCTCAGATCAAGATCAAGCTTGTTTTCAGTGATAGTGGCCTGAGTTGTAGGAATAGGAGTCTGGCACGCCCGGAGAATAGTACAGTTTGAAAACAGGATTGCCCACTGTCTCCCTGGTATCTAGAGTGGTTTGTGTATGCCTTGGTTTGAACTGAATCTGAGTGATGTGAATTCTTTTGCTGCTTAATAAAGTAACCTCTGGGTGTAACAGAATGTCAAGGCAAGTTAGTGGCAATAAATTACCTGCACAAGCAGTCTGAGCTTTTTTTGTTTTTTTAAGTTCTTACAGGTCAGCTAGACATGTTATTTCTTGAATAGGTTAAAGTAATAGCTACTATGAACTTGAGCGATTCTTCTGTCATGGACTAATGTCTGGAGCTGGGCTTGGCTTTAACCTGCCATTTTAAAATAAATCCTGGGTCAAGAACTCTCCTGGGTGAGGGAGGATGTTCTGGCCCTGAGATGAGGGGGGCACATTGAAGCCAAAATCACAAATCTTTGAGGCTGTGGTGGCTGTGAGTGTGCCATTGCACTCTAGCCTGGGTGACAGAGTGAGACTCCAACTCAAAAAAAAAAAGATCAAACCAGTAAAAAATCACAAATCTGTTAAATATGTACAGTTCTTTCAGTGTCATCTACTTTACTGTGGAGAAGAGAGATCCTAGAAATGTCAACAATAGGTCGGAGGCCAAAACTGATCACGAGTCTGTGGCAGTCTCAACCCGTCTTCCGGTATAAGGCAAGAGGGAAGAGTAGACTGTAGAAAATTGCCCAAAGTTGGTAGCTGCTGCATGGCTGTGTAATAATGAAGTCAGGTGAGCTGCCCCCCCCAGTCCAAAAACTGTACTGTTAAGTCACCTGATTAAGTAGTGGCAAGGAATGTGGTATTTAGAAGGCCTTGTGGGTCATACTGATACTGGCTATAGATTTGTGCCAAGTTTAGTTGCTGGGTTTTACTAATAGTTCTACTTAAAATGACTTGGCTTGCCTAGGATCTATCCTGGGGTTACAAAGTAGAAGGCTAAGTATTCCCAGCCAGTCTTCCCACCAAGGCCAAGGCTAGAGGGGGACAGAGATTTGAAAATGCCAAGCATGAACTCTGTAAGCCATTTTTAAAATACAGGTAGGTATGATAAATGCTACAAAACCCAAATACACTTATTAAATTTCTCTCAGCCAAGCAGTTAAATACAAAAATGTCTATAACTACAAAGTTCATAACCTGTATCTCTTAACCAGGGAATGCTAGGTAAAGGCAACTTCAGTTTAAGTAAGTCCTCCATTTCAAATTGGCAACATGTCCTTTGGTTAGCAGTCATCCTTGGAAAACTAGAAAATGCTACTGCCACCAGAATGTCCTGTTCCAACAAGTAGGCCCAGGGCTTGGGCACAGTGTAGCTTGCTATATGGTAAGCAGTTCACTCCATTGCTTCAGCAGCCTCCTCACCACCATCTGAAAGCTCTTCTTCACCGGACTCCTCCTCTAGTAAACAGCTTCTTGTAACTGACTTCTGGATAGCTTCCCGTTCTCCTGGAAGAAAGGCAGACAGGAATGAAAGGTGTCTTTGGGGGAAGGTCAGTCACTGCTCAGTGGGCACTGGGCTAGTGTTGCTTACCTTCATCAGTGCAGTTCTGCAACAAGATCAACAGCTGCCTTCTGTTGTACTGAATTAGGAACTTCTGACATGTTCTAATTGTACCTGGCACATGAAAGTTTCTGTGGTCAACAGCTTGTGGAAACTTAGACTTTCAGAGCTAGAGGAAAGGATAGTGGGAAGACCCACCCATCAGTTAAGATTGGACTCTGAACATGTCACCTGTTGAAAATGAGCCATAACACATGCTGTCTCCCTACCTCCCACATATAACGTGTTGAAAAAACAAGGGTAACGGTGTCCTTTGTTCTCCAAGTACGTGATGAAAGGAAGAGCTGACCACACAAGCTGGTAGAATTCCTTTCGGCATCGAAGTAGCACTATTCCAGTATAGGCATTGAGGTATCGAACTACAGGAGGAGAAAAAAAATAGTTCTGGAAAACTCTGGATTCACAAGAGCAGGTTAAAAACCTTAGGTTAACAGAGAGCCTGCTATGTGCTAAGGAATGTTCTAGGTGACATTTAGGATGTATCAGTAAAAACAAAGATTCCTGAATTTAAAAAACAAAACACTTTAAGACAGACTTCCAGTTATGGAAGGGGGTAACCACCCCCTTGCACATCACACAGAACTGGTGAATTAATTTAGAATTTAAAATGCCTTTCTAATTCACTAAGTAGTTAATCTGATAAGTGGGGGAAGGGAGACAGGGATCCATCTTTATTCAGCAGGAAAAACAAGAAAACTAACAGCAAAAAAAAAACCTTGCCTGAAAAACATGGCTTTACTGCTACTGGGGTATGGGGGTTCTTTTAACTGAGTCTCACCTTATGCACAACAGACATGCTTTTATGCCCATGTGCATTTAGCTCTCCTGGATTCAATCTCAATCTTAAGGTAAAATAGGAAACTAAGTGGTGTGTAAGGACCCCCCCTCATCCCTGCTCATCCTGTATTTACATATACACACAGTCATGTGTTCTGTGCTTTTATCTTTTTGTTGTTGTTAGAGATAGCCTTGCTCTGTGGCCAGGCTGGAGTGCAGCCGGAAGTTCATAGCTCACTACAATCAGGCGATACTCTGGCCTTAGCATCCCAGCACTTTGGGAGGCAGAGGTTGAGGGGATTGCCTGAGCTCAGGGTGTTCACGACCAGCCTGGGCAACTTGGTGAGACCTTGTCTCTTAAAGAAAAAAAACAAAAGGGAAAATAACGATTCGGGGTTACGCCCGAATCCTCACTGCTAACGTGAGACTAATTTTTGAGCAGGTAAAGGCTGCCCCTAAGGTGACCCACCTACTTTGTGGGATGCCTGGGAGTCACGATCTGCCCGTACCCGTAGTTTAAAAAAAAAAAAAAAAAAAAGGCGGTTGTGGTAGCGCGCGCCTGTAGCTCCAGCTACCTGGAAGGCTGAGACGGAAGGATCGCCGGTCGAGGCTGCGGTGGCCCGGAGCGTGCCACTCTAGCCAGGGCGACAGAGTGAGACTGCAACTCAAAAAAAAAAAAAAGCTTTTCAGGGTAATTTTGATAATACATGTTTTTTCGGGGGGCCGGTCATTTTGATGATACATGTTTTTTCCACGTGATGTACATGTGACCACATAATAGCTTTCTAGGAACTTCACACAGCTTCCCTAGTTTAATTCTCTATCCTATTAAGTTCAGTCACAACCCCCAACTACGGATGTCAAACAGGAGCCGAGAAGACTTTAACCCAAAGTCCCACTGCCTTCGGCCCCTGCTTTTAACTCTCCGCCTTATTTCGGACTCGTCTGGACCTCCAACGCAGTTTCTAAAGCCGATGTCGTACGAAGGATGGTGCCCCGGCTTGGCCGCTCCAGAGCTGGCCCGTGCCCCCTTGTTTCCCCGACGCCTGCCCTCTGCAGATCCCGCTGTCCTTCCGGGTTCCCCCAGAGCCCTCGCACCCGCGAAGCCGATCGAGCAAGCGGCCGCGCCGAAGGTCCCGTGTACCCGGGCGATCGTGTCCCGTACGAGGCCGCCCAGCACTCGGTCGTCCAGGCTCAGGCGGCAGCGGGGGTCGTCAGACATCAGTTCGCAGAGCAGGTACCTGAGGCAGGCGAGAGGCAGGTGAGCGCGAGCCGGAGCCACGGGGATTCAGCAGGGCCCGGGGTCGGGGGGGGCCTGGAACGGGAGGCTTACCTGTGCTTGAACCGCACCATGGCTGCCTCCGCGCTGGCGGGACGAGCAAACCGGATGTCGGTTCTGCCTGCGGCCAATGGGAAGTTTGCTTCCGCAGTCTTGCAGCCAGTCAGAGAAGGAGGTAGGGTACGAGGGCGGAGCTAGGAAGTTGAGAGGCCGAGCCCTGTGTCAGCTCCTCCAAGTCCCGCCTCCGTCCGGTTTGTTAGCGCGCATGCGTCCTGCGAGAACGACTTGACTAGCCGGGAACTGGCGTCCGCTGTTCAGCGGCTTGTGGTTCCGAACGGTGGTTTTGCTCCAACGGGCGTTTACTGTACTGTGTAGGAAGCCGCCGCTGCTTTGGGGGGCCCTGGGGGACCTTGCAGTACAGTTATGTATACACTTTTATTCTCCTCCCCAAGCTGTATGGTGGAGATTTTGAGGGCAAGACCCTGTGCTTGCAGCCCAGGGATTGACACGGGAAATCGGACCTTATTTTCAGGTTAGAGCTCAGTTTCATTCTGCCGCACAGCTAAATATGCCATTGCCGTTCGGACCTTTCAACAGTCTTATGGAAGTAGGTGTATTGTTTTGTTTGCAAAAAAAAAAAAAGATGGTCATTTTATATATATATATTACACATATACACATATATACACACTCTTATATTTTTTATATTTTATTTATATTTATATTTTATATTTTTCCAGGGACCACTGAGATTTCCTAGACTCACTTAGAGAGTCCCCGAAGTCAAAATTACTATCATAAGACTAAGGTGTTATTTACCTTTTTCACACTCTCAGAGTGACAAAGTTTTCCAGAGGCTGCTTGACATGTGATGACGTCACTGCTCTGACCGCTAATGGAATTGTGCATTTTGTTTTAAACATCCCTCAGTTTTCATGTTCATGGTAAATAGCGATATTGCCCACAAAAATAAGAGCTTTTGGGATCCCCAATAATTTAAGGGTGTAAAGGGGTCCTGAGACAGAGAAAACAGTTTGAAGACTGTGCCATGTGTTAAATTTTATTTCTCCTTTTATTTTCTTTTTAAGAATAGAGAATTTCCTCACTTGTATTATGGTGAGTAAACAACAACAAAACAATGGTGAGTAACAACAAAAGGAAAGAATAGAGGATCATACTGATGAGTACTTTTTTTCACTTGAATATATTTTTTTAATGTCTTATTGAGGTGTAACATACATAAAATGCATACTCTCAAGTGTACAAGTCAATGAATTTTTACAGACTTCTGCAATCCCCGCCAAGATTAAGATATAGGGCATTTCCCATACTCCAGAAAGTTCCCTGAGCTCTCTTCCCAGTCAAAACTCTTACCACTATTAGCCATTATTCTGACTTCTGTCATGATAGATTAGCTTTGCCTCTTGAACTTTATATAGATATCCTACAGCGTGTTTTCTTGTGTCTGGCTGCTTTTGCTTAGTATAACTGTAAGATTCATTCTTGTTTGACTATCTTTTATGTCAACCATGCTGCTACAGCATTGCATTGTTTGGCTGTACCACCGTTAAGTTGGTCAATATCCTCTTGACGGACGTTAAGTTTAGTCCTGCATTTTCTTGTTATACCCAGTACTTTGATGTATGGCCCTGTAGCTAAGTCATTATGCCCGTTGCTGACTATTTGTAGAACCGTCATGGCCTTGGCTGGCCCTGTGAGGTCCGTGAAGAGGCAGCTTTCACAACCGACTTTTTTTTTTTGAGTTGGAGTCTCACTCTGTCGCCCAGACTGGAGGGCAGTGGCCTCTCCCGGCCACCGCAGCCTCGACCCGCTGGGCTCCGGCGATCCTTCCGCCTCAGCCTTCCGAGTAGCAGGAACTACAGGCACGCGCTACCACGCCCGGCTAATTTTTTGATTTATTGTAGAGATGAGGTCTCCCCTGCCCTGGAGGGTCTCGAACCTGCAGGCTCAGGCAATCCACTCACCTCAGCCTCCCAAAGGCGCGGGATTACAGGCTGAGCCACCGAGGCCGATTAGATTTTTGCAAGATCTGGGATTTCTGAATTTGCCCATCTCGCACTTTTCTTCACCACCTCAAAGGAGAGATGCTGGGGAAGGGAAGGGAGGAGAGGAGGAGGGAGCGCAGAGGCCCTGCTGAGGGACCGACAGCTACAACTTTCTCCCTACCCAAGAATCACCTTTCTCCGGAAAGTGTCGCCAGTGTCCTCCTCTGACCAGCAGGGGGCACAAGAGGCCCGCAGTGCGCAGAGAGCGCAAGCCCGCCCCCATCCCCGCCCCCACCCTACCCCCCACACCTCGGAGGGCACTTTTTACCCGAATACTTCCGAGCTGTCATCTCACTTAATCCCGACGCTTCCCGCATTTCACAGCTGCAGTTGGGGCTCAGACCAAAGTCATGTGTCCAGTAAGAAGCAGGATCAGGATTTGAAGCCAAAGCCATCGGACTCCAGAGTTCTTGCTCCGGTCTACACCATGAACGTCCTCCCGGGCGGTTTCACTTATCCACGCAGTGTAATGAGTTGGAGAGGCGACAGCTGTAGGCTTGAATGCCCCCCCTCCACTTGCCAGCTGGGTTCTGTCGAGGAGGTGAATTCATGTCTCTGCGTCTCAGTTTCCTCGTCTGTGCAATGGGATAATGACAACTCCCTCATGGGTGGATCTGACATTTAAGCGGGATTCCCTGGGCAAAATGCCTGGCGCCGTGAGTGCGCGGTCAACGCTGCTCTGAACGAAGGATTTCTTCCCAACGAGGCACACACAGCCCCGGGAGGACCCCCGCTCTGCTCCCGGCCCGGCGCCCCCAGCGCCGCGAGGGTGCA